TTTAAGTAGAAAATATAGTAGGACAGAGCTTTAAAACCACACCGATTAATACTTTAAGCATTTTAAAAGGCCAAAATTTGACAAATTTTATTATCTCGTGACGAAAGACGTCAACAACAACGTATCGAATATCATAATTTGATTAGCGCTCGCAAACTCTTTTTTAAAAATTTGGCTTCTGTTATTTCATATTTGAGTTCTGATGGCTTACGCTATTCAAACCTGTATGAACATTTCAAAATTAAACTACAGAATTCTATTTAGTATAACCGGCGATAACAGCACACACTAAATTCACCGTGACCAGTGACTCTGTCACGTAATTCCATCGTGTAATTGTCCTGAATACTTAACGCGTCTAAATAAAGCAGCGATTTCTCGGATTTCTAGCGTTCTGGTCGTCACATCTGTCTGCATAACAGTCTCTGTTCATAAGTTTGAAGAGTTCTTGTAAAAAAGATACCCCATTCGCATAACGGGTGGACGTCATAACTAGATTGCATAACAACTGCACTCCGAAATCATTTCCTACATTTTTGCAAGAGGTGCTGCATTTGTATCTTGAATTTTGAATGCGAGCTCCAAATGTTCGCATATGTCTCTTAGCATCTTGATTTTGAGACTGGACAACCTTGCTTCTCTTGCCAACGAGCACACATCATAGATATCAAACATGATTGGATGTTTCAATCTTTCTCATCCATTACTGTGTTCCTTGCCTCTCTCAAACACCCTTCGTCTACATCAGACGCGGATGCTTCTATCAAGTGGTCGTCTGCGTCGGTGGCATCATCCGATTCTGGTTGTATTTTAGATCGTTGTTTAAGGCACAATCTCGAGAAGAAACCCTGAATCTGTATGTTGGATAACCACTCTGTTCTATCGAACATTCTCTCTCCATCTATTGTGCAAGCATTTCGCATATCCTTTGCTACTTTCTCTGGGTTTAGTTTCTGACAGTGTCTCATCCCATATTAAATTTCTGTTTCAAGTACTGCCTGACGTTTTTCGAAAGCCGTTCACTTGCACCTCTCTTATGAAGAGCCCATCCATGGGAAGCTTTGATGTACTTGTCAAGGGTTCTGTGGCCACTGCAACCAGTTCAGTCGAACTTTCACCCTCTAATGACAATGACTGAAAGTAATGAACCCACTACCTCTTTACTTTGTCATAAAGACTTTAAGTCATGCTCTCAGGCACAGGACTTACATGATGAACTAGCTAGTTCATATGGAAGTCAAGGTCGGCCTGCGTCTTAAAATCTTCATCGCAACCAGGTTCAGGGCATTGATAGGAACTACCGTCGTTGCCATCATTACTTTCTCCTGCTGATGCAGTTCGTCGAGCAGTAGTGGGGAAAAATGGAATCTCCTTCAGCAGATCCGTCATTTTTTCTGTGGAAAAATTGTAATTATAATTTTTCTCCAAATGCGCAGGCCCTCTTGTGTAAGTTGCTGAAAGTGGCAATCTTGATGTCCCAGCCCTCGTAGAGATGATACTAGCTTACTGTTGCGATAGCAACCTGCTTCATACGATCTTATTCCTGAATTTCGTAACTTTATGGTGGCAAAGAGATTTTCTAGGACTGACAGCACTGAAAACCGGTCTTTTTTACAGCTGTTAAGAAGGTCTACTTATCAGGTTACTTCCAGGCTTTCCTCCTATCTTACAACAACGCTACTCACATGCCAATTGATTTCCCTCTTGGGAAACCATTCTGCTTGCTTTTCCCGGCACTTCATCGTCCAGTTAACTATTATAAATGCTTCATCTCCCTCCAAAGTATCGACAATTTGCCGCTCGTACTGATCCTGGTTTCTGCTCTCAGGATATACCCTCTCCATTCAAAGATCTTAGCGGCAGCATTTTTTGCTTCATACAGATAGTCTTCCGCTTGAAACCTACCCAATTGCATTGTGTACTCAGAAATAGCGCCTTTTACTTCTTCAAGAACACTCTTCAGCATCTCACAATCCTCACACTTCATGTTGTGACTGTGACTGCATACTTTCTGAACTTCAGTGTCACCAGCATGGCTCAGTGCAAAGACCCTACAGTGATCGGCACATTTGCTATCGTCCTCTTCGTAGTGATTACGGTATGTAGTCTTCAAATACAACTTGCTCTCTTGAAGCCTCTTCGGAACTTCTTTAAACTGGTCTTTTTCTGCTCCCACGCTTTCCAATTCGTCTATAATTTGGAGAAAATCCTTGAAACCATCCGTTCCCTCAGCTGCAGTATCGTGTAAACCTCTATAGAACGCCATACATCTTAGAAATGGCCTTTGACATTTGTAAATTGACAGAATACCGGCTCTTTAGCCCTTTGGAATCGCTACCAGGGTGTGTCGGATACTAACACGCTGAACTTTGGCTCAAGAACTTCCCATAAGTGTGCCTATGCTTCGCGCAGACCCACATTTTGCCATAACTGAGTCTTCTACATCGAACAGGCCAGCCCTTGAAAAGATAAGCTCTCCTTCCGTGAAATTATCTTTTGA